CTCGTATTGTTGAGGATGTGTGTTGTTTACTCTGAGCAGACACAGTAATGATGTGTCTCCATACAGGAAGGATATCTCCTGCATCCCAGCAGCCTTTGGGAGAACTATCCCCATGTACACCTCAGGTATGACTGATGTGTACCTCTACCTCTGTCTCGTATTGGCAAAACAAATAAACATGTGTGGTCTGTAAATTATAATGTTTCTCTTTCGTTTGGTATGTAAATGTTGGACAATTTACACAGATTTCTTCTTTTGTCTTTTCCCCAAATATATTCAGTGCATCATCATTGAAGAGTAAGAAAATCACTTATGGTGTTTTGGTTTAACAAATACAAATGATATCAGAATCATTTTTGGGTCAATCGATGCACTGACCATCTACCTTCTATTGCTATCTGTTTACAGGTATTTTTTAGAGCACAGTACTACATCTATATATATTTTTTAAAGTTGGAAATAAAAGCGCTAACTCTTGTATAGCTGACAAATACTGCAAACTGATATTCAGGCCTAAATAATCTAGTTATTTTTCAGGGATTTGCAACAATTATTTTGTCTAATCCAGGGTTTTGACACAAAGTCTATTAGGTTCTTTAACAACGTTTTTTATTATACTTTATTTCAGAACTAGTTTTAATCAATCGCTACGAAGTAATGCACACAATGTGAATTGTGGGACTACAAGGCCTCAGTAGCTTTGGTCGACATCCTGTAGTTTGTGTCTTATCATCAGTTCCTCACATGAGCAGTTTTCACAAAAGCCTTCATAAATGTGGTTCACAGAGTCAAAAGTTTAATGTGAACACTGTGTAGCATATTAAACTAAAGGCAGTAACTTTTTATATTGGATTATATGACATTTAACCAGATTTATATTCTTGTCAATCTTGCCTTTAACGTCTTGTCCTTTCTGCTTCTTTCCCTCTCTCTCTCGGTCTGTATCTGTGCTCCAGGTTCCAGGTGAAGTTTTTCTACCTCACTCAGCTGGCCTACTGGCTCCATGCCCTGCCGGAGCTCTACTTCCAGAAAGTACGGAAGGTCAGTGAGGGGATCCTGGGAACTGGAGGAGTTAAGGGAGTGTGACCAGAGAACGTGTGTGTGTCCTGCATGTTTGTGAATTGGATGGAGAACGAGAAACAACAAAAGGCTTGTGCACTTGCGATTAAATGCTGTTTGTTTTCAGGAGGAGATTTCCCGCCAGCTGCAGTACATCTGTCTGTATCTGCTGCACATCGCTGCAGCCTATTTGTTAAAGTGAGTATGTGACAGAAGGACTTTATTTTAAAATCCTGTTAACTCAAAGTCTGGCCAAAAACATACTTCTACACTTGAACTTACTATTCCAAAATGAGTTTCTCGGCTCCTCCTTGCTCCTTGGCCTGACTGCCTCTCTCTTGTTTCCGTGTAGTTTGAGTCGTGTGGGTCTGGTCCTCTTCTTCCTCCAGTACGTGTCAGAGCTGGGCTTCCACATCGCCAGACTCTTCTATTTCACTGATGAGAACCATCAGAAAATGTAAGTAACCTCACCACTGTCACTTTTTCCAAAAATCCAGGTCTAATAAATTTGACATGACACAGAATGTTTTTGAATTCACAAGTGAGATGAGGTTGAATACTTGACATTGCTCTGCTTGTCTGTGGTGCCTCGTCTGCTGCCTCACTTGCGTTGAAAGCAAACACATAGGCCCTACTGCTGGTTTTATTTTTCCACTGTAACTCAACCCTCAGAATATAATACTTGAACTACAGACTGTTGATATTTCCTTTCCACAAACACTGAACTATTTAAACTACATTTTTCCTCTCAAAGCTGCTGTATCACATGTTTTTAGTGTTTTCCACCTTTAACAGTGCATTTTATTGTTGCCTTGTTGGGTTTGATGATCGCCGTAGTTGATTTTCTCAGCACCTTTTTTGTTTTTTAAAAATCTTTTATCGATTGTGTCTGTGTGTGTGTTGTGCTTCAGGTTTGACCTGTGGGCGGTCAGCTTTGTGTTTACACGGATGGCCACTCTGACCCTGATGTTCCTGGCTGTTGGCTTTGGTTTGGCTCGTGCTGAGAGCCAGGGGCTGGACTGGGAGATGGGAAACTTCAACACTGTGCTGATTAGGTAAAGCCACATGTGGGCAGACCGAAAAACAGCGTGTCCTACATTTGTGGATAATGATTCATTTTGTGGCCAATACGTTTTACAGCTGTCGTAACGACTTTATTACAAAAAACACGTATGCCTATATAAAAGAAAGTGTTGACGTTGTTGTGTTTTATTGTTTTGCAACATAAATTCAAATGAATGATTCCAGTAATCTTGAAGCTTAGTGACAGAAAATAATTGATCTTCACAAATAATTAAATTGGGTTTAATCAGTCCTAACTATGAGGTGATATTCAGAACATTGATTAAGGATATCTCTAAATGTGATCATAAAATAGGCAGGCACAGCAACTTAAACTGTTCAAACAGTGGTCTAGATCAAACTTGTTACCAGGAGCTGGCTACTGTAAAACCCTCAGAAATGTAAGAATTCAGACCTTGATCCAATAACACACGTCGAGGCCAGAGAGCAATTTCATTAATGTGCAATGTCAGGGCCATTTTCCCCCGAAACCACACACACAATCGCACTAATCTTCTTGCTTTGGGGCCCTGACAGGATGACTGTTCTACTGCTGGTGTGTTTGACCCAATCTTGGCTACTCTGGAAGTTTATCCGCTTCCAGCTGAGGCGCTGGAGGGAGTTCAGACATGAACAGGCCGTCCGCAAGAAGGCAGCCCCAAAACAACCCCTACGGACTCTGAAGAGAGACTCACGTGAGTACAAGCACCTGGTCAAACATGTTTCATGACACATGCTGAGGGAATCACATGATAAGTAGCTGCAGGAGAGGCAAGGGGACAGTTTTCAGGAATGTGACTTGTCATGATTCCTCCTTAAAGAAACACTGTGTAATTTTCTGAGCAACAGCAGCCAGCGGAGCTCTGACTGCCTAGTCCCACTCACTGAACTGAAACACAACTGAACAGTGGATATTACCCATAATCCCTGGCTTCCTGAACCAGAAGAACTGCTGCTGTAACAAATCCACCAAACTCTGTTAAGAATTCCTAATATGTTAAAAGTTTCCTGCTGGTTTTTAATGACTTCAAAGTCTTTTTACCTGATCTACAGTTCAGCTTTACTCTTCAACTTGCTGGAGTTCATTCTGACAATTAACGCTGTGAATATCAGTCAGTTACATACTTCACACAGGACATCATACCTGCTCAAAAAGAGCAAGAACAGATGTTCAGGATAATGAGTGGGAATGGAAGTGACACCATTCTCTCTATTCAAAGTTAGTGAACCATCAAACTAATTTTGAAGCTGATGTTTTAAGGGGGAAAAAAAGTTGAATAATGTTGCTTTAAAACACATTTCCAGATCACAGAATATGTTCTGCATTAACACCCTGACCTCTCGCTTCACTTCTCTCTCTGCTAGTTGGTCACCATGAAAACGGAGTACTTAAAGCAGAGAACGGAGCCTCTCCTCGGACCAAAAAACTCAAATCGACCTAAGAAAATGCAGACTGGCCTGAACAGCAGCCTTAGCCCAGGCTAAGGTTTTCTCAACAGCAAAACAGGGGAACTGGTGGCCGGTGGCCACGGGGCTCCTGGTTGACTACGTCCTGTGATGTTACAGGGACTCAGTCGCTTGAATGCTGGAAAATGGAAACCAAGGAAATCTCTTTGAGCCCAAAAGACATTTACTCTTCTCATCATATCAGTATTTTCATACATCCACGCAGCCTGCTATCCCTTCCTAAGGAACACCACTGTATGCATAAAGTGAACGCAGTAAATGGCACACATGTTACTGTGCGTGTCAGTGATGAATGTGTCCGTGCATATCCTCATACATAAGTACTGTATTGGTTGTAGTGTTTGCAGCTCTTCCCATTGAGCCGGCTCTGCTTGTTTTCTGGTCTGATCCATCAGAGCAGAATGAATTGTTACTGATGATATGATATGAGCTTACTGTATGCCGGCCATAAGGTTATCCCTTTACCACGTCAAGAGAAGGGATTCTGGCCAAACAATAGTGTTCACCTATAGGCTCCTCCCAATGATTTACATATGTCACTGGTCACTTAATAGATATGTATCGAGTATGTATGTTGGATATTACCGCATGCCATTCCTTGTTTTTTTGTTAATTACTTTATTAAAGAATGCAATTTTCTCAAATAAGATAAAGACTTGTCTTTGTTTCTATTTCAGTGTGTATGCCACATATATTTGTCAGGAACATAGAAGGTTTTCTGTCATGACCTCACACACATTGTTATACTGTGTTGTAAAATCAAAAAATACAAATGGTAAGGAAAAGAAAACCCGAAAACATAATGCCTCCAGCCACTGGCTTTAAAAACAATGGTATGTACATCTACCTGTGCAACTCTTGGTGTACCAAGGCGATCAGGTGGCTGGAAGACAGCGAAAAGGGAAAAAAGTAAATATGCAGATTAATATGGGAGTGTAATCATTTACTTGAGGAAAACATATCCTTTTAGAATTAAAATTATTATTAAATTATTTATCTCAGTATTCAGGGAAAATGTTATTGAAAAAAAGTTATGGACTGTTTTTCCAAATTGAAACTATAATAAACTATTTTCAGGAAAACGGCATTCTTGAGATATTGCATTCATGGGAATGGGACGGAGCAAATGTATGTGCATATGCCTATAAGTGCACACACAATCACACACATATACACACCCTATATGTTCTCATGCTAACAAACACAGGATACATATGACACACATAGACACAAATGAGAAAACAGTCATTATTGTATGGTATATATATATATATATGAGATTTTAATAAATAATGTATCAAATAAAACAGCTAAGTTGGAAGGACAGGCAGAAAAAACACCATAATGGTATTGTTTCTTGGAAAAATTAAAAAAATAGGCAGATTGAGGCTCTCTCCGCGGCCTCTAGCGTGTTCTTGGTGGCTGTTTTGGTGTGCAGACCGTTTGCTCCAAGGAGTTTGAGGGTTCGCGCCAGTGATTGGCCAGCAAAGCCACGGCACCCAACCTCTACTCCTCTCCGCCAGATCACCTTCAGGATCTTCCAGAGACGTCTGAGGAGACGTGGGCACTGTTTGTAAACTCTGTAGGGTATACCGCTGGGGCCTGGAGCAGAGCTAGATCTTGCTGCTCTGACAGCTTCTCTAACCTCCTTCACGGTGGGTTCAGCGCAGTTGAATTGGGTTGCAGGCTCCGGCTGCTCCACCAGTTCTCTGCAAGGCCCGAGCTCGTGGTCTTTCTGGGTATCGCTGAAGGTGGCGTGGAGATGGTGGTCGATCTCCTTGACGGGGCAAGTGAGGTGGCCACTTCGTCTCTGGCCCAGAAGCTTCTTGATGAAGCCGAAGGGATTGCTGATGAAAGCACTGCGTTTCCGAGCTCTTTCCTTGCCTTTCCTTCAGTGCCATTCCGCCCTCCTCAGCGAGATGAGCCTCTTACTTATGATGTTTGTGAGTTCTGACAGGGCTGTTTTCTCCTCGTCCATAGCTGCCTCAAACTGACGTCTCAAGGACTTTAGCTCTTGTCTTAGCTGGCTAATCTTTGCTTCTCGACGGTTGAGCTTTGCCGGATTGTTTCCTCTCCGCCTTTGTTCCACGCCAAATCGCTCTGCTCCCGTGTTCATTATGATGGTGCTCATGATTTGGAGTTTCTGGTCGATGCTGCCCTTCGAGACAGTCTCCAGGCAGTTGTCAACGTCCTCGTCCAGCTTTAGCCACTCCTTGTTGTTTGCGGCAGGCCACATCACCCTTCGCTGTTCCGATTTCCTGCTCGGGTTGGGGACTTGTGTTGCTTGGAGGTTCCGAGTTTTGCATCACTCGGATGGCTCCTCTACTTCATCACCTGATCAAAAAAAGAAAAGTTAGGGCTTAATTTGCTGGGTATTGTTTCAGTGCATTTAAAAAAGGTGACACCAACTATCCCTGAAAACAAGTAATAGAGATTATTAGCTGACTATTTAACCATTTTGTTTACCTGGCTGGTTATTCGCTGCCCCTTCACCCAGCTTTTGACGCAAAGAGTTCAGTGTTTGATAAGGGATCTGGCTCGATATGGACTCCAGGTATGTAAGGACGTATTGGTCAGCATTGGTCAGCACAAAGCGTCGGCCAAAAACTAAAGTAACAGACACAACAAAGAAGAGAGAGGTGACATTAGCTGAGCGTTCACTCTTTGGTATCGATCCCCATACTCAAACTCAAATTAAAATTGCAGGGTCAACAATTCCTAGTTTGGATACAGGTTAATGTGTTCAGAGAGAGTTGTACTGGTTGTAATAATGAGCTACACATCCTAGTTGACTCTGTAGTATCTGAGTAAGCAATCCTTTTGTAAACCCAGACTGTGATGCTCACCATCCACAGTGGCTCCAATAGCRAAGTCTGCAGGTGAGTAGAAGTCAGGATTATCCACAGTAGAGCCCGGCTTGGGGATGCGTGTCTTTTTCAGGAACATGCCACTGATGATACCTGAGTTGGGAATGGGGTTCTCAAAAATACTGATCATGTCGTCGTACAGGAAGTAAGACAGAATAAATGGTCGGCCTTCGTCGGTGGGATTCTGTGAGTCCTGGAATCAATAACATAGGGGCAGCTTAACCAAACAGAGAAATTATCTGTTTTAATAATAATAAAACTAATAACATAGTTGCAAAATGTTTTACAGAACATGAAATAATATAGTGTAATAGATTTTAATAGTGTGTGTAATGTAAACAAGTAAAACAGGTTGAGTGATTAGCCCTGATCTGAATTCCTCAGGTAGGCTGTCCCACCTTGTGAGGAAGAGAAAGCCCATGTAGGGTTTTGAATGAGAATAGAAAAATTACAACCAACAGGAAGGTATGTAGAGTTGCTAGTTTGGTGCAATATAGTCTTTTCTCCATCCTTTAAATTTTGGCTTTGATTTAGTCTGGTTAATCAATAAAATGTATTTCCAGAGTGAAGATTCCTGGGTCATTTTGAGTGGCCAGTGACCATTCCCTGATGTTGACTCACCAGTGTGGCACTGTAGCGCAAAACTTTGTTATGGTTCTCCAGCATCTTCTTCACATTCTTTTTTGGACGCTTGGGAATCAGAGCCAAACAATTCTGGAGAGAATCTTCAGGTGAACCAAAACCATTGTAGGGAGGAACCTCCTGTAGATGTGGACAACATAGACATGAGAGGGTTATGGACGAGAGAAAATAGTAACCACAACACAAGTACCCACAGGCAGGTCAGTGATGACATGGACATGTGAAAGAAAAGATGAAGACTAAAACTAAAAGGTAATTTAATTCTCACCCTCTTCCATTCCACTTTAACCTTCTTTTGTATTTCAATGGGTGACATATCCATGTCAGGGTGGTTGGTTTGGTAATACTTTCGGGTGAAGTCATCACAGTCATACAGCAAGAAGGGACGACCCAGCAGCTTCACTGTGTGACCCACCTGGAAGTCTTTGGGTGAGTAGTACTCCTCCACCTCATCCTTTGAGACCTGCATCACACAGCTGGGGAAGGGCTCTGAAAGGAAATAAGACAAGAACAATTATGCAGTGACTCAATAATGAAAATGCCACCATATCACAATTTAGCTGGAATATTTGTTGTCATCTACTGGATGTTTCTTTTAGAAATTGCATTTTCCAGTCTCTCGACTTTGCAACATACGTGGTTTGAGTTTCTTGTGCAGCTTCTGTCGGCGCATCACAACAGGG